GGAAGAGTTGATGGATTTGAGGAAAGGTTCTTTTGAACCCAAAATGGGTGATGCGGGAGAAGAGTTGCAAGCAAATGAATAATCACAAGCAATGGAGAAGAGTATATAGGCTAGATTTGACCATGTTATTTTTGGTCTAATCAACTTTTAATTCAAGGTTTACAATCTCAGAGGATGGATGTCTTGTGTTGAAATATATTGGATGCTTGTTCAGCCCTAAAGTCTTTTGAAGAGGCACTTTCGTCACTAAAGAAGACCGCATTTATTTTAGTCAATTTCTCTCTTATTCGTGTATGTTGGGTGTTCTAAATGTCATTCATGTAGACTAAATTGTATGATGATCTTTATTGTATTTTATATTATACAAGGATTCACTTTTATTAAATAATGGTAGAAAACGAGTTTGAGAATTTTGATAGTTTTTGTAACGTTTTGGATTTGTTTAGATCATATGGGTTTGTAAAAACAATTGGTGGTGGATTCTAGCGTCTTTATCACTTGATAATGATAACTTTATTTAGACGTTTCTTTATTGGTTATGTTCAGCTCACAGCTTGTACAAATTATGGTGGTCTTGTATCTTCTTATCTATCTAATAACCTATGGTTATATCAAGATTAGAATATAAAACACGCATTAATTTTGTTTCACAATTTTCATGTTATCGTTTCTATTTCATTCACTCATTTATGCTTCATGCTACACATATTAAAAAGCTTCTACAAAACAACCAAAGTCAACAAACCTGGCAAATTAACAAAGTTAACTGTTATAAAAAATTAACAGATTTAATCAATGAATCTCATCCGAATATACCAAATTAGCATAATATACAATGGATTTGGGATGTATAAACAGGTGTTCGTTGGAAACGATACAAAATTTGTAATTTAATGATGCATTTGTGTAGTTCATTATGCAATTATTTATTGGAATCTACGTGAAATTTACGCTCAAACGTTATATTTAAGATTTTTGACATAAAGTGATTCACGACATAAAAATTTTTGGAACATCGATCACTAACCTAAAACTAATAATTTTCATTTTAAGATTGAATTTTGTTTTTTTTTTTTGGATTTTTCGTTGCATCGAATAACTTATTTTTATGTTGTTAATTTGGAACATCGATCACTAACATAAAACTAATAAATTTGATATTTTCTTCTAACACTATTTTATGTCCAATCAGATGTTTATTTACTTTAAATATTAGATTAGAATTACGTAAAACATGAAGTCTAATGATTTATATTAGTATCATCGATTTGTTACCAATCTGAGTTTTAACTCTACATCGTATGTTGTCGAAAACAAAGAACATAAAAAAGAGTTTTGAAATTTTAAAAATATATGTAAAATTAATTTGGAAGACACAAAAGGAGATAACCATTATTATTTTAATCTTTTTCTTATAGTAAGAATAAAAAGTAAATTTCTTTCTTTTTTTTTTTTGTCAAAAAAAAGTAAATTTCTTATAAATATATTATTTCTTTCAAGCAATTTAGCTGGTTCCAGCAAAATCATGAAATTCCTTTGACTAGCAAATTAAACAATTTAAATCATATAAAGGCAAAAAAAAAAAACATAAAGTACTGGTTTTGAGAAAGATAAAAACAAGTAAAAACATAAAGGGTTAATAAAATATCTATACCTGCAGTGGCAAATAATTAAGGATCTGTACATTTCATTTAGTTATTTAGGTTGACATTTTCTTGCAAAATAAATATGACGAAATTACTCCTAGAACCCCACAAAAATCGATAGCCAACTGCCGCGAGATAACGAGCATTAAATGCTGGGAAAATCTACCAAGATTTTACGCCGCCCGCTGGGAAACTAAAAAAGAAGTTAAGAAGTAATGATTAGATGTGATACGCAATCGATTTCGCAGATATGGAAGCTACATGTTTGGCTATTTATTATCTCCATATCGACATTGCTGCAACAAGAAGAACTCAAACAACTAACATATTAAACACTGCAACCGCTAAAAACTAAAAGAGAAAGAAAGACAGAGCATTTAAGTCTCAGGTGTGTAGTTATGGAGATTTCTCTTTGGTCTTCTACCTATATATATAGCTACTTGTTATTTTTGAAAAAAGGGCAGTCGTTAACAAAACTTTTACCATGCTGTTTATACAGGAGAAAAATGTCGCTGGCCGTCCGGCTTGTGCGAGGAGAGTGGAAAAAGGACGAAACCGGGTGCTACGAACATGTATCCGAGATAGAAGGTTTCTGTCTAGCCGTCCGTTTGCGAGAAAAAGACAGTTAAGCAAGAGTTGTCGAAGTAGTGAAATACAAACTTAATCTCCGACCGGAGGATGATATCGAGCTGTCTTATCAATGGCCGCAATGGATGATGGGACCAGATTGGCAGCGAGCGAACCCCATACACATTCTCGACGACGAAGATATGACGTTGTTTATGGCCATCCGAGCAGATCTTGAGGAGATGCATCTGAAGGTTAAAATCGTGAGAGGGTCGATGATAGAGCGTACAGTGAACTCATACAGAAGCCACATCGACATCGGAAGCATGAGCGCAGAGGCAATATCAGACAGATATTGGAACAGTGCAGAGACGAGGGCTGTCTGGGACACTGCGATAACGAAGATGTTACTCCGTAATCTATCAGATAACGCGGCCGGGAGTAGTAGCCCACAAGTTACCCTACCAGAAGGTATGGCTGGCGCGTTGAGAAGACAACAGGCCGGAGGGGTAGTAATCAATGACAACCAGGGCATGACCGGGACAGGAAGTGTTAATCCAATAAACATGACACAGCCAGATAATGGAGTAAGCGCGAAAGGGAAAGAGCCAGCCATTGACGAGGAGACAAGGAGAGATTTGGAATTTGAGGTGTGGAGAAAATATAAACAAGCTGAGATGTTGAGAGAAATTTATGCAACAGAGATGACACTGGGGGTTCCAGACAGAGCAGTGGAGGAAAAAACATCGGACAAGAGAACAGCAAGAGCACTTGATTTCGGAGATCAACATAAAGATGGTGCAAATCCAAACAGCGAAGTCCAACTAACACTTGCAAGTGCGGAACCAAATGCGGGTGGGCCAATGATAGTATCTGTATCATCAACGGACTCAACATATGGAACGCCAACAGAGCTATCTGAAAGCTTAAGCTACGAGAGTGACGAGCTGATGGATGACACAGATATATCGAGCAACAACTGCCTGTCACAGATAGGTAAGTTACTGGATAACTGTGAACTTATCGTAATTGTAGTGTTACGTGCTAACTAACTTGGAGTGTTATTACTGAATGTAGGGGAAGACATGCTAGCTCACTATTACTCAGACCCAGATGGGCCGCTATGTATGGGACCGACTGATACAACAAACATGAATAAGAGAAAGGCACTATCAGTCCCCGGCGCCAGAACAATTCAAGATTTAGGAGAGGCATCAACGGCGACGGTAGGAACAAAAATGGGGGAGATGGTTTTGAAGGAAACTCCGGTTCCAACAGTCCTGTATGATAGAGACGCACCACCGTACTTTGACGACCCGGGAGAAGAAGGTAGGTTAAGTGTATTTAGTTGCCTTTGCTTAAAAAAGTAGCAGATAACATATCCTAGTTACAGATACCTATTACGATGATAACAGTTGATTCGATAGCGACAATAGTTGCTAACGAAAATAATGTGCTAACTGTGTTATCAAGTCATTACTTAACTTATCGATTACTATTTTCATTGACAGATTATTTGCATCGGGCCCTGATGGATGCAGACTACGAAGGGGATGACATATTCATTGGCAGGTTGTTCAAAAGTAAGGAAGACTGTGCAACAAAGCTTGCTATTCATGCAATAAGGCGAAAATTTCATTTCATTTACGCCAAATCATGCCCCAACATACTGTTAGCGGTTTGCGTCAGCCACACGTGCCCGTGGCGGGTTTACGCAACAAAGCTAAAGGGTAGCGAGCGTTTCGAAGTAAAAAGCGCGACTCTCCATCATACTTGTAGTGTTGACGCGCGAGGAGACTTCCATAAGCAAGCATCAACTGCGGTTATCGGGAAATTAATGCGGACCAAGTATCTTGGAGTTGGGGGAGGACCACGACCTAACGAGTTGAGGAAAATGCTACGACAAGAATTTAGCCTTAATGTGTCTTACTGGAAAGCGTGGAGGGCCAGAGAAATAGCAATGGACAATGCGATGGGTTCGGCAATGGGGAGCTATGCTTTAATTCAACCTTACTTCAAACTTCTGTTGGAGACAAACCCTAATTCATTGGTGGCCTTGGAGACAGAGAAAGATAGCTCCGGTGTGGAACGCTTTAAGTATTTGTTCTTCGCACTCCAAGCTTCCATCCAAGGATATGAATATATGAGGAAAGTGATAGTGATTGATGGCACTCACCTAAGGGGACGGTATGGAGGATGCTTAATCGCTGCAAGCGCTCAGGATGCCAATTTCCAAGTTTTCCCAATTGCTTTTGGGATAGTGAACAGCGAAAACGATGATGCATGGACATGGTTCATGGAGAGGCTAACGGATGCGATACCTGATGATCCAGATCTAGTGTTTGTGTCAGACAGACACTCATCAATTTATACAAGCATCCGTAAGGTATGACGAAATCCTCAAACAGAAGACTAGTAGGTTGATTTTTTAGCAATAACTTAAACAATAGCAAGATAATATACGAATTAGCAAGATAAATATTTAATTACATATTACATTTGTTGAGATGGCTAGGATATACTCTATAAACAAAATAACGCCTCATTAATGATGGTACATGTTTACCCAATGGCTTCACATGCAGCTTGCGTGGTACATCTGAAAAGGAACATTGTAGCAATGTTCAAATCTGAGGCGTTAAGTGTTCTAGTAGCGAGAGCAGCAAGAGCTTACCGACTAAGTGATTTCAACAGAATATTTGCTGAGATAAGAGCAATGCACCCACCATGCGCAGATTACCTAACAGGAATCGGGTTTGAGCATTGGACTAGATCGCATTTCGTTGGAGATCGGTTTAACTTCATGACGAGCAACATAGCGGAGTCGCTAAATAATGTCTTAACAATGGCTCGGGATTATCCGGTAATTTCTATTCTAGAATCACTCCGAACCACGCTGGTTACATGGTTTGCCCTCAGGCGAGAAGCTGCTCAGCAGGAGGGAAACATTTTACCACCCAAAGTGAATGAAATGGTGATTGAGAATTTTGAGAAAGGAGCTGGATATGTGGTGCTTAAGATCGGGGAGGCCAATTATGAAGTGAGAGATAGAAATGACTCCGGATTTGTTGTAAACTTGTGGGAGAGAACTTGCACATGCAGGGAGTTCCAGCTATTAACAATTCCTTGTTCCCACGCAATAGCAGCAAGTATAAAAGAGGGGATTCGGGTAGACACAATGGTAGGCATACATCACACAGTGCCTCATCTAAGGTTGGCCTACCAAGGCATAATAATGCCGGTCCCAGATATGGATACACTAACTCCATCCCCAGATGATATCGGAGGGGGAAAACTGGCCCCACCATATGTCCGCAGGCCGCCAGGTCGCCCAAGAAAAAGAAGGATGCTGTCAAGGGGGGAGTTTAAGGTAAGTTAGCTACGGGATAAGAGTGTTAACAAATAACATATATAGTTATCGGGCTCTTGTGATATGTAATAATGAAGTTTTTAAAAAATTTCAGAGAACTTCGGCGAAAAGGTGTTCACGCTGCAGGGGATTTGGCCATAACAAGGCAACATGCCGGGGACCGATAGCGGTAAAAAATATATAACTAACAATGATTCTCTATGAGTACAAGTAGATTCGATAAGGGGGGTGTTATCAGATAACACATGGAAACGTGTGCTAATTGAAAAATAATGTCCTGCAGGGAGGCAAGTGATCGAGGAGGGAAAAGGTTTTTTGGCGGTAGCAGATGGAGGAAGGAGACTGTTTTTTGGACTAGGGAGGGTTTGAAAGGATGGTGCCGCGATTAGAAGACTCAGAAGAAGTCATGTTTTATAAATAACAAGAATTCGGAGATCAGAAAATTTTCAATGTATATACGTACGGATCCTGATCCTAAAAATGTGTATTATCTGCAATCAGGGGCGATCCCGACAAACCTTCCTTATGAATGTTAAATATATGTTTATGTTGAATGATATGCGGCAACAAAATATGTACCACGATATATACCCTCTTTGAAATTTAGCAACTTGAAAGGTAACTAGCGTCCTGTACTAAAAAGATAAGACAACAACGACTTCGCTAAGAATAAGATTACCGTCTAATGAATGTGAAAGAAATAAAGGTTCGTCGTAAAATGGTTATAAATGAGATACAAAATTAAAGAAATAAAGGAGAAGTTATATAATTTAGACAAATTAAACTTAAAATATGATATAGAAGATGATTTAGAAACGTATATTGGTTAACAACTAACAAAAAAAATATCTAAAATAAGTAACAAACTGAAAGATAAAATGAGAAGTTGTATAATTTAGGAAAATTAAACTTAAAACATGATATGGAAGATGATTTAGAAACTACCAAAAAAACTATCTTAAACAACTAACAAACTGAATATCGACTACTAAGTTCCGCGATAACAAAAGCTACATAAATAAAATCTTAAACATAGATGTTAAAACAAACAATTAAACATGACAGACAGTAATTAGTAATTACTTAAAAACTTAGTATCCAATACTTTGTGAGGTACCGCGATAACAAAAGATACAATTTGAAAGCCGACCCATGTCTAAAACCCGACCCGCGTATCTATGTACTCCATCTTCTTCTCCAAAATCCCCAAATCGAAAATAAAAAAAAAAACCTAAAATCATCAATCTCTGAAATCGACCTCTCTAATCATGAGCAATATCTCTAGAGCTTCAAGTGGATCATCAAATGTCCGGGAAAGAGTGAAAGGCGTGCCCAAGAAATGTTGGTGTGGAGAACAAATCGTGCAAAAAATTTCAAAATCCGACCCAAATCCATACCGCCGCTACTTTCGTTGTGGTTATGCTGCAACAAATAGAGTAATACCCTTCCGTTGAACTTTGATGGCTAATGTTTATTTTAGATTCTCATTGTACTTATACTTGTCTTTCTCGTTGTAGCTTATGAATGATAACCACACATTTAAGTGGGTGGATGAGGCATTGTGTGATGAGGTATCGACATTGAATGGGCAAACTAAGAGGCTGCAAGAAGACATCAAAGAGATCATAACAAATTCAATGAAGCACGACGAGATGATTTTTGAGAAAATGCAGAAGGAGCTTCAGAAAGAGATTATTGAGAGAGTGGAAGATGCTATGATGGAAAAAATGTCTGAGTTCAAGTCCAAGATGAATAAGATGATGATTTTTTTTGTTTTTGGTTGTTTGATCATGGTAGGTCTCATTAAGGTACTAGGTTGAGTCATCGTCATGTATTTGACTCAGATTTGCGTAATTGTTGTCCTTGCTTATTTTGAGTCATTGTTGAATATTGGTTTTCTGTCATTTTGGATGTCTTTTGTCTCTAATGTACTCTTGTAATGTTTGTGACGAAGACGCAGGGAGATTACTATCCCCAGTATTTCTGAGAAAAAAGATCTAAGCTTACCTGCTATATCTTAGGTTAACTGCTATATCAAGGGTTCGGGATTTCAATAGGAGGATAGGAGCTTTAGCAACAAATTGCGGTCGATATTTAACAAGGGTGGGTGCAAAAATTTAATTATTTTTTAGGTAAACGTCGCCGTTTACGCTTTCAGGAAACACTTAGTTTTAGTGAAAAATATTGCTCCAATTGTTAGGTGGTAACAAAAGGCTTACATAACAACAGGAAGGGTACGGACTGAGGGGTTACGAACCAACCAGTTAACACATAAAAAAGAACAACAAAAAAAAACTCCAAATATTACTTAAAAATAGTAACAAACCAAGAAATTAAAAAGGTAGCAATAACCAAACATTAAAAGATGTAAGAGATTGGTTCAGGATAAGAAACAACTAAGACCGCTAATAAAACGGTTAGGAAGCAACACCGACAATCATTATAGCACAAACAAGCTTTTTCACTTCACTCTCAATCGCCCCAACGTCAAAATCATTACACTCCTCCAGACCTCCAGTGGCATGCGCATGGATTAAGAAGACAGATACAACCCCAGAATCAAATGGAGATGAAACCTGAGGGATCGACAGAGGGCGTTCAATAGAAAATGGGTTAACAGGCAACTGCTTCATAGACGGATTAAATGCAGCTTGTTTGAGAAGGAAAGGCAGCATGACAGCAAGAGGCTGAAGTTCAGATTGTAGAGCTGCATCTTTACGGAGCTGATAATTAGAGTCAAGGACTACAATCTTGCCGCCATTGAGGTCAACACACAATGCAACCCAATGTTTTTTGTCGAAGTTAAACGGCAGGTAAAGAAAATCAGCCTCGGAAAATAATTCAACCCGCTCAGGATCCCCAGCTCCACGTAAGATATCAATCAATGGGGATGGGAAAATGAAATCTCCAAGGGGATCAGATTTGGAAAACTTGTAATAAAGACGAGTTAGCTGGGAAACAAACTTCGAATCGAGGACTTCAACACGCAACTTCTCACCGTCACCATCATCAACCCTCAATATATGCCGACTGAACTTGATTAGTGCATCCAAGACCTTGAAAGAAAACAAGAGAAATAAACAAAAGGGGTAATAATAAATTAAAACATACATACATAAAAAGTAGAGGGTTTAATACCTTGTTGTTGAGATGTTTTTTCCGCTCAATCAATTCAAAAATATCCTTGTTAGCAAGCAAAATATCCCCACCCAGGGAAACAGAACTGCAAGGGAAAAGAAATAATAAATCCTAAAAACAGCGAATAATGTTGTAACTATCGGATAACCAACATTACATGGTAACAAAGTTAACCTTGTCGCCTTTAGTTTTTTAAGAGATCCTTGGAATCGTTCCTCAGGGTCAACGCATTGATTACTTCCTACTACCAACGGGGAAGGGTGGCCAACTAAGCCCTTAATTTTCTTATCGAAATGGAACCTCTCATCTAATTTACTAGAAAAGGTTCTAAGCCTTTTGCTCCTCCTACCAGGCTTCAAACAGACATTGGAGGGGGCAACAGGGGCGGCCTTGCCATCAACAAAGGACAGAGGTTTGGCACACAAAACCTCCTACAAAATGAAAAATTAGAAACAACTGATGAATATAAACAATAAGCGATAACACCATAGTTACAAGATAACCTTGACGTTAGATCGAGACTGGGTTGACGGGGGTGGAGTGGTAAAATCCTAAAAATGAAACAAGCAATATATCCCCGTTTAAGTATTTTACCAAATTAAATCTGTAACAGGGCAAAAATATCTAACCTCATCAGAATCCTTCTGTTCCTCGACTGCAATGGTTGATTTTGCCGGATAGTTGTTGGCCTGCAAGAAAGAATAAAATAATTAAAAGAGAATGAATGATACCAATCTTACCTGCTAAAGCACCGGTTACTAATTGGTGAAATCCTTAAATTGAAATCACCGGATAAGGATTTGCCAAAATGCAAGTTAGTGAAAGAGAAGAAACTACTGACCTGATCAGAATCCTTCTCTTCCTCGACTGCAGAGGTTGATTCCAAAGGACTGCTGTTTGCCTGGAAGAAAGAATAAAATAATTAAAACTAAATGAATGATAACGATCTTACCGGCTAAATAAGAAAGAAGGGGGTACAAAAATGAATAGAAAGGTTAAGAAAAAAATGGAAAAACCAGTTCGTGAGCTCGATGCTCGAGGGCCTCAGCAGAATTGTTGACCTGGGGAATCGTGGAGAAAATTGAGTAACCTCGGCTCCAGAATCAGAAAAACCACCAAACAAAAAGAAAAAATAATTTAAAAAAAAAATGATGAAGATCGACCATTACCAAGACAGAATCAGAAGCTCCCACAATCGCACCACTGCCATCGGGGAGGACAGGTAATGTTGGGGACGAAGAAGCAGGGAGATTTGTATCCCCAAGCTTCAGAAAAGAAAGGGAATTAAATATTAGCTAGCCACATATAATACTTAGCTGCTAAACTACTATATAAAACGAATAAAATATAAAACACATTTAACTAACATCAGCATCTGTAGTAGGTGGCAAATCAGAATGGAGGGGTCTGAGGGCCTAACAAGCAAAAATGTAACAACATTACAATAAGTAGATACATATATTCGTTTGAGAAAGATATAACGGATAAAGAAATTAGCTGGTAACTTCATTATTATCAACCTCTTCCTGGCTTCCACGAGTAGTCTCACTCCCCGACTGAAACAATTAAGATATGAATAAGAAATTTATGAAACGGATAATCTAAAAAAGGTACTCCCCGGACGAAATTTCCAATCTAACTTACCTCCGACTCTCTGGGATACGATGTCTCCATGTCATCACCCTAATAATTTGCAATTACGTATTAGTCGTTAGCAGGTAAAAATATAGATATCTAATACATAAAACTTAACTATACTACGTAACCTGCAAGCTGCTGTCTGGCAAGGAAGAAGACACCTCAGGCAATGGGACCTACAAAAATAAATAATGCGTTACCAATTGATTAAGAGGGCAACACAAGCCAAAATGAATAAAAATGGGCAGAATGAAATCACCAAAAATGGCTTCACAATCACGAGACCACCAAAAACGATAAGAAACAAGTGATCAGTGTTTTAATGTTAACAAACTAACCTTATCCTTATCAGCCGGATTCCCGGGAGGTGGCATAGTCTTCTCGTTTTCATTCTGCCAACAATAAAACACTGTTAAATTTCAAAACTCGAAATTTCAAAACATATTAAAAGTAACGCCAGAACGCTATTATCAACTAACCATTACATTATCTTGGTTAGGAGGCACACCAGCCACATTATTACCATCACCGCCGACGTTATTAGAATTGTAGAAACTCACTACATCTTCAACACCAGCCATCACGTCAACACGGGTAGAAGACCGGATATTATATTCACCAGTTGGAAAAGAATCATACATAGCATGAGCAGCAGAGGCGTGAACAGGGGAAGAATTCACATTTTTTCCAACAGCAGATTGTTTCAACTTATCAGCAGGAACGGGGTCTCCTGATGTCGCCGGGGTTTTAGAATTGTCAACGTCAATAACAGTATTCCTGACAAACCAATTAATCACCCCTTGAATAATCATTTTTTCTAGGCCGTCGAGTTTGTCATCGAGCAATCGAGACAAATCATCTTTCACTACATGACCAGAACCTTGACCTTCCTCTAAATTGGGACTTTGATGCTTCCTTCGTAGACCAACCGGGTTCCTCCCTTGGTTTTGTAGCTTCCTACCACGGACTATTTTGGATTTGCCACCCCTCTTAACCTTTTTTGGCCCCACTTCAACCTCGGATGGTATACATCCCCCAGTAAACATTTCATTGCGAAAAGTAATCCCTTCGCCAACTAACTTGACGATATTATCAACCCTCTCATCTTCCTCATCATCAGACCAGCTTAAATCTTCTTGCGGGTTCATCTCCAAGTCAGGGCAAATGATAGGCTCCACATACGTCTGCGAATTAAAACATATCAGAGATGAAGATTAGTAACGTTAACAAAAATGATATCAAGATAATATAATTATCGGGTGGTAGATTTCTTACCGAGCAGTTACCATCCAACTCTTTCGCATTGCCAAGCATCAGGGGAACCAACTGACGAGGAGCGACTTCAACAGCTTCATCTTCATCAGAGTCAGTCCCCGCAACCTCATCCATCAACGGGCCTTCCTGAATAGCAGGAGCAGCTTGCAAAACAACAAGCTGGAGAGCGTATAACAGGCCCTGAACAGCGACACAAGTAGTAGCGAGTTGCTCAACTTCCCTCTCTTTAATTGAGGTCATCATCATCTCAAAGGACATCCGCCCCCAAGGATAAGCAAGAAAACCCTCCAAATCTTCAGACATCTCAGCGTGTTCCTTCACTATTTTGGGGTAATGAGAGGTAGGAAGAAGAAACCCGTCAACAATGGCCAGGCACGCGTATCTCAGCCTTACATCTCTATCAGAGACAATCCTCCTTTTCAACATCGTGACAACCCTTTCCACTGTCACGTCTTCTTCAAGCCCAAACAAAGTGCTATAATAAGGAATTTTTTTCCCAGCCGTCCCTCTTATCTTCTTCTTTTTCTGAGACGGGTACTTACCACAGGGAAGACCAGTAACAAGTTTGAACTCCCGCAGCGAAAAACGAACAGGCGTGCCGGCGTATACAACCCAAATCTCATTGGGTTTCGCTACATCCAATTGGCGACTCAAAAGGAAAATACCAAAACTCGCAGACCACGCCGGCTTATTAGGAAAATCCAAAATCCCACCAAGCGAAGTACCCGCAATGTACTCACGTTCTTCGTCATCCAATGCTTCAATGATGCCGCATAGTGTTTTGATTTTGTGGTATACATTAACTCTTTCCCCAAGGGGTTCTTCTCCAGCAGCGATCAAACGATTCGGAAGTTCAATCTCTCGCATCTAACAAGAAAAATGTGAACCGCAGTTAGACAATCATATAACAAAATCTTATCAGACTCCGAAAAAACCTAGACAGCAGTATAGATAGGAAAATTACTCCGGCTCTGCGACAAACAGAATTTCACTACGGCGAATTGAAACAACATAGAAGATAGGCTGACGAAAGAGCTTCGATTCTCTGAAAAGCAATGTGTTTTACTAAGACAAAAAAGGGATGCGACTCTCCATATGGAAGAAAAAGGATAACGACGACTCGTTTCCCCAAGACCAATTAAATAAAGGAAAACCAAAAAAATCCAACACGCGCAGACAAATAAGGATCTACTAAGATTTTAATACGGCCGTCTGACACAATATATTTCAAACAGTAGGAAAAGATCTTCCCGCTATATAGGGGTACATGCGCAATTTCCACATACACAGTTCCAGCCAAACAGTAGCTTTTTTTGGCACCTAAATAACAACTCTTCGAGGTATAGTCTGTTCAATTTCCCAAACATAAACAACCGAACATGTGTCCATTGTTTCCAGCAGTCCAAATACCCTTGTGACTGGTGAATTTAATGACTATGACTCAGTTTCAACTTTCAACTACCTAACGGTTTCAAAACATGTTAACCTTGTTTTTTAAAAACGCCCATTAGTTGTCACTTTAATCATCTATATGACTATATTATTATAATTATTTAACCTTTTTTATACTAATAAACACTTAATTATGTATATTCAGAAAAAAATATCTTTATTTTTAAAGCTATATCTCATATTTTGTATCTATACTATTTGGTAATGTAATTCTATATTAGTATTATCTTTTGTTGTGACATGTTCTCTTAAAATAAATAAATAGGTAACACAAATTGATAGCACCTGGATACTTCACCTGAAACTTTCCCCACCTCTCTCTCTCATCTTATCTATCACCATTGCTTCTTGAAATTCTCTGTTTTTTTTCAGACAAGTTTCAAGAAAAGACAGAAAGTGAAACAAGTCTTGTCTTTTTTTTTTTTTGGTGTGGAACATTACACCAGTCACGAGATGTCTTACAGTGACCCAAACCAAAACCCAATTCCAGAAACTTACGCTCCATCGAACTCAACTGAATCCGAGAAACTGAAACTTTACCAAGCTTTTATCTTCTCTGTTCCAATCTGTTTCACATTCATCGTCCTCTTCGTTCTCTACGTCATTTACCTTCGACGAAACAGCACCACCAACGTCGATTGGTCTTCTCTTGGAATGCGTGGTGGCATCTTCGTGCCCACCAACAACAATCTCTCAACGGTATTACTCAAACTGTGAAAGATTTTGTGGTTTTTGAAACATTTTGATGAGTTTGGTTATGTAAAGATTTGTTGACTCATATATACGAACAGGCTGAATTAGGACTGAGCAAAGATTTGAGAGAGATGCTTCCCATTGTTATCTACAAGGAGAGTTTCACAGTCAAAGATTCACAGTGAGTTCTCTCATATCCAAAAAGATTTTCGTGGATTCACGATCTTGAGTCAGATTTTTTTTTAAGGCTTATCTCATAAAAACTAACCTTTTTTGATAGAAAAGTTCAAAGCTATGTTTGATGATTGTAACCTTTCACAAATTTTGCAAATTTATCTTATAAAAACTGTTTGATGATTGATTACTTGTTATTGGTACTTGTCATGTGAATATAATTGCATTGAAACCGTTACCTTCGGCTAAGAAAAATG